CCAGGACTTACAAGACTAGAAAAAACCAGTGTCAATCCCCAGGCTACACGCTTCCAAGGAGGCAGATGTCACTCCATCATTAACGGTTGCCATGTTTCCCTTCCCAGCCAGGGCTGGCTTCCTCAGGAGGGAAGTGTGCGGCGGCTCCTGTGTGCAGATCCCTGCTGCCAAACCTGCAATGCTGTGGCTCTGGAGATTCAGCAATTGCTGGTGGGTGAGAACAACCAGATCTCTCCCACTTTATCTGGGCAATCCCAGGACTCCTCTTGCCTAGATATTTTGTCCATGTCTAGTGTATCTTTTGAGCAGAGTCTGGGGCTTCATTCCCAGGACACCAGAGAGATTTCACTGGCATCTGCAACCCCAACACTGGCACAATCCACAACTCAGAAATTCTTAACCCAATCAGCTACTCAGTCAACCAATACAGTCAATATACAAGATTACTGGGCTGATCATTTCCAGCTACAGCAGGAATTTCAAGTGCCATATGTGCTGATAGGCCCAGAGACTATCCCTTTTTCAGGGGTTGAGGAGCCTAGTGTTCCAGCAAACCATCAGGAGGTGATGCAGAACAACGTCCAACTTGTGCACGGTGATGAAGGCCAGCAATCCTTGAACTCTGAGGACACTTTGCTGTCCCTGAACCCAGAGATAGCTAACCTGACACATCCTATGGCCTTTCAAATGGTCCTCCCCACAAACCTGCCATTCCTTAGTCCAGAAGTGCTGAGACTTCTTGAGATACATGTGAAAAAATGGATGCATTTCCAGATGTGGGGGCTTCCCAGACGTGTTGAGGAGTCCTTGAGACAGCTTCTGCCAAACCCACCATCTTATTACCAGCCTGAAAACAACCAACCATTTTCTTTCATCCTAAATAATACCGCTCAGGTCTCTGTTCACAAATTTGGAACTATTTCCCACCAAACCTGGTGTTCATGTATGGTTGGCCAGCCCACCCAGACCTTCTGGGTTTCTGAATGGTCCGTTATGAACCCAGAAGAAAGGTACCACCAGCACATTCCAAAACCTACGGATCTAGCCTTGCCCTCTCCAGCACTTAAAGTCCTAAGTGGCCTCTATCCACTACCTGGGGGACAGGCTAATGACTCGGGGAGCCATCCTCAGCAGAAATGCAGCCAACTATTCTGTGGCCTCCCTTCTCTGCACAGTG